ATGCCTTAATGCCTTTTGTTTCTAGTAAAGTCTACGTCACAAAATTAAAATTTAAAAACTAAAGTTGTAGAGAGAGAAGCTACAGATGTACTAACTACAGTAATACGATACCATTTGACAGATAATATTTTCATTTTCCTTACTTAGTTCCAAGTGTGCACTTCCAATCTGTACTCTGGATTTTGCTATTCAATAGGACAATAGCATGAAATTGTATTATTCAATAGGACAGTAACCTGCAAGGGGCTGCTTGGGACACCTCCCCACTCACTGGGAAGCTGGGGCCTGGGGGAAGCAGGCTGCAAGTGAGGAGTACTGGGTCCGGAATGGCCATCATGTTTACAAATGGGTCCTGTTACAAAAAAGGTTGAATTGCTGGACTAAATGACCTCCTGAGGTCCCTTCCAACCCTAATTTCTATGATTCTGTGGTGTGAAAGTGCTTACTTAACATTAAAAGTAAATAGTACACTGCAACAGGATCATTTGCACCATTATAACTTCAAGAGTGTCATAACCAGTAACTTCAGACTACAGTTAAGTACTGTAAACTAAATTCTAGGGCTCTCTCCTGATACAGTAAGAGAAATTCATAAAGTGGTCTATAATTATACAACTTTCACAAATGCAGCACTGAAAGCTTCAAAACAATTGCTTCCCTTTCCAAGACATGTTCTCTCGGAATCAAATACTAAACACACATGCACCCTTTTGCCCAAAAAATTAGTCGCCTTAAGTGGTGAAACTGATTTTTCTGCTCAGAATAGAAGAGTGGAGATGCTGTAAAAGTAGCAGCTGCTGCTTTTCCTTCTCTTCCCTCCAGCAGCTGCAAGGAGTCCAGGGGCTGAGTTATGGATGGGGGGCAGTGGTCTAGTACCTACTTCCATTCCAGGTCCACCCAAAATTTAAAACTAATAGTGGGGCAGCAGTACTGGTGTTTCTGTTCAGCCAGCGTTGAGGGATTCTATTAACTTTGTAGCTCATTACAACTGTTCTTCATTCCAGTGGTGTTAACCCTCATCTTTTCTATGATTTTGATATTCCACTAATCCAGCTATCCTTTCTTCAGCAATTTGGCTGTCTGTGGGCTACTCCTGGTCTCTCTTCTCCTATTTCACAGTCCCAAGACTTTGTTAACTTTTTCCAAAAACCCAGATCCACCCATTCAGTTCAGTCTTCAGCAACAGCTACAGTTTCAGCTTTTGGTTGAGCTGTCAAGAGCTGCTGACAGTTCAGCTGTGAAAGGGTTAAAACTGTAGGAAACGCAAGGTGACCAAGCTGAAGATTAGGCTCTGTTCCTTGCAGCTGTAACTCTGGAAGACTTTCTCTCTTCATTCTGCCTTCCCAAAGACAAGGTGCGTGAAGCTTGCGAGAGAGAACGGTATCTATTAATATCAGACTAGCATAAAAATATATTTAAGTATCAGCCTAACAAAATAAAGGGACAATAATAAAGGCCTGGTTGTATGCATTTCAATACCAGAACAAAGCAGGGCAGGGCATCAACTAAATTTTTCTAATATCAGAACAGAGATGCACTAAAAACAGACTATACCTTTCTTCTTAGAAAAATAAAGTCTCTTGCTGTTTCTTGTTCTAATTCAGCATGAAATAAATCTAATTTGTATGAAGTTCTGAACTTTACTAACTTAATTTATCAGTGTCCTTTTGTTCAGCAAATTAGTATGCTTCACACCTCTATTAAAAGTACTTAACTGAGACTTTAATTCCACTTTTCCTTTAATAGAATTCTAAAGAGATTTTAAAATATAGCCTGTCTTATTAAAGCTATATGAAAACATGTGCCCATCAAAAAACGGTGGGGTAAGTTTTCCTTCTGTACTCAGCTCCCTATATTTGGCTTCAGTCTTGGAAAAAAAAATGTTGTGTTATGTTCTAAGAGTAAATTTTAGGAAGTCATGTGCAAGGAAACCAGATATAAACATAAAACATTTACAGTCAGTGGATGCAAAGAACAAACATAGATCTTCACAAAAATAATTGTAAAAAAATTGTAAAACAGAGGGGCAGTGAGGGTGGGATAACAACATCCCTGACAACTGCTTCACAGTAAACTGTGCTACATTCTTCAGAGTCTCAATTCTGATTTTTAGAAAATGTAAATCTGGTTCTCGAGGTTTCTACAACAGACTTTTACATGCAGGAAAATGGGGGGGGGGGACTATTAAGAATGTAGCTTAAACAAAGTGAGGTAAAATCCTTGCACACAGTCAATGCACTCATTTTCAAAATCTTATCATGTAAAGAAGAAACTGGTATCGTCTCTAGCCAAAGCAACTATTCTGTGATTATCACAGTAGCCCTTAAATTCACTAATGAATGCAGATCAAGTTTTTGCCTCCTGTGCTTTCCTTAGATACTAAGGACCAGTGGTTGACAGTGAGTCAACTCTGCAGGGGAAGGCCAACTGGCCTGGACACATCCAAAGAAACCCCCCCCAACAAGAAGAAACCCTGCCTGTTGAATGCCATTCACATGTACATGGAGCTAAAAGGTATCAGTTCTCCCTTTTATCAACTTGTCTGAGACCCACCTTAAAGATACCCAGACAAATTCACTGCGAAGCAGTTGTCAAGGATGTTATCCCACACTCACTTCCCCTCTGTTTTAGAATTTTACAATTATTCTTGTGTAGTTCCCTTGCTAGCTTAATAAAAAATAGCTTTCAAATCTTCTGAAACCCAAGGCATCCCTTGCTTAATTCAAAGCATCCCTTAGAAAAGTGACAGCTCTTTGCTTTCTCTCTTTTTTTTTCTGACTATGGAACAATAGTAAAATTTTTCTCTAGAGAGAACTCAAAAAGCCTACATGTCCAAATGTTTTTTTACACTATAGATTCCCATATGAAACCCTTTGATCTCTTTTGAATCATGTGTAGGTGTTTGGCAGACAAGGTTCTTTGGGCAGATGTGATATCTTTTATTAGACCAACTAAATTGTTGTCTGCCCATGTCCTTAGACCAACACAGCTACAACCAACAACCCTAAAGTGTAGGTGTTTGCACACCTGACTGCGCTAATATTACACAACACAATTAAAAGGATCTCACAGAAAGCCACTGAGTTAGAGGTTGTGTATAAAGGGAGAGTTAAGAGGACATAATGAAAGGTTAGCATCCTTAGAGGATTATGTTGCCATGCATGGTCCATGGCATGCTTACTGTTGCAACAAGATATGTGGAGAACTAAAGCATAAGCTATCTAATGGATACATAATTTCCCTGGGTTTTGCTGCTTCGTCATATGTAGTGTATAGTAACCTTAACTGTTCAGGAAGTCTTTTAATTGTGGTTGGAGCTTGGATGTAGGAGTTATGAACAAGCCATTCTCTGTTGAAGACAAGAAAAACAAACAGAAAGATGTAGAATAAGTCTTCAAAGGGAAGGTCTGTGCCTTCCAACTGCAACCAGCAGGTTTGTGGGCAAGACACATGAAGGGAAGATGCAACTAAATCAATCCCACAAGTTCCAGATTTTTTATAGCATCTGTGCACATGTTATTCCAGATGAATATGTGCACGTAACAGTATTTACATTTTCTTTGTACTTTTTCTTCCCCCTCATTTCTTATAAAAATGTTTTCCCCACTTTCTGCTTTGACTGCAGCTGCACATTGACCAGATCCTTTTCACAGCAATCTCTGAGGCAGCAAGTCAGAGTCCTTTTCTTCATTAATACAGTTAATTTCAGATCCTTTCAGGTGTGTAAAATCCTTTGAGCAGTTTACATTTCTTCTTTTAAAAATGCATTACTTTGCAAGAGAATAGTTACCACATCTGAAACAAATTAGGTAGGACATTGACCTGTGTTTGGAAGAAACTGGTTGCCGGTCTGTCTGTTTCAACTAAACTAGTCTCAAATGAAGAGCACTAACACTGGAGTTAAAAGCACAGCAATCCATGCCTGAAGGGGAAGATACAATAAAAAGGGTGACCACATGCTTGCAAGCTACGAGTATTTCTGACTGATGGCGTCACAATTCCTTATGTAAATGCTAGTCCTGGAAAGCCTTTGAAGCCTTGATTGTGACCTCAAGGAACCAACATTCTTTTTAACCAAGGTCACTCAGCCCCCGCTGCTGTATCACGCTGCCTGTGGGGCTCCCCATGAGTCCGTGGAAAGCCCCACAGGCTGTGCCTGTTGCTGGATCAGGCGCACAGAACAGCCCAGGGCCCAACCCCAGCACATGGGGCTAGACGGAGGCAACGCAGGACCCTGCAGCCTAATCCTGACACACAGGGTCTGACTGGCCCATGGAGCAGCCCTGTGGCCCCAGGAGCCAAAGCATTGAGTTATAAACCTTTAGCCTTGGTGTTGATGAGGTGAACAGGTGGGGGTCCTCCTGCTCAGGTAGTTTGAATGCTGGTGCACACACACATCTTCTCCACTTCTGTAAGACAACCAACAGCCATCCCCTCCTTCCCCTGAAGTGCAGCCCATGCACAGGGGCACTCTAAGCCCCTTGTAGCTAATCCCATCCTTGGCTCTCAGGAGCCTGTACAAGTACAATGGCTCTCAGCCTTTGTAGCCTCAAAGCCCCCCATCCCCCATGAGTCTCCAGGCATCCCCAAACACCCACTATCAGGTTCCACCCTTTTTTTGTGTGCAAGCAGGCAGCAATTGGTCTTTTGCAAAGATCTGAGAGGCAGCAGCCAGGGCTTTTGAACGCTACAGATTTCTGCTTGAATATTGCTGCTGTGGTACCCGCACGCTTCACAGGGCTGGGGTCTCTTAACCCCATAAGAGGATGCCCTCTGGTGCTAGCATCTGCACAGGATGGTGGCAGTTATCTCGCATGCCTCCGCAGGATCTTGGGGCGCCCCAGGGGCTGCAGCCCCTGGGGTGCCCCATTGTGGCCAAGCCCCGCCCCCTCTCGTCGCTGCCCCGCGGGGGGGGCGGGGCTTGGCCACAACCGCGCAACGGCCCCAACGGAACGCCCCGCCCGCTGGGGCCCGGGCTGCGGGGAGGGGCAGGTCCGTACCTGCATGACCACGTCGGCGGGCAGCTGCGCGGCGCGGAAGAGCTCGAGCACGCGCCCGTTGGACGCCACCTTCTTGGTGCTCTCCGTGTCGCAGTAGGAGAAGAGGTCGCAGTAGTAGCGCTGCTCCGCCTCGCTCAGCGTCAGGCCCTCCATCGTCCGCCCCGGCCGCCGGGGAGGGCAGGGCCCGCGCGGCAGTGGCTGGGCCGCCGCGA